CAAGTCGCCACCTCCAGTCCTCCGCAAAGATCACTTGTCGCTTCCTCACGAGTGCGACGAGCCTCATCCTCCGGCTGAAAATTCTCCGCAGGACCTTGAGTGTCATCTCTTTCAGGACTGGGAACGTCATAGGCGGGATGTACCTCGTAGTCCTGAACTCTTATCTCATGCCTATGATGGCTTCCGTTGGAGCTTTCGCCACCCACCGAGCGCGCTCTACGACGCAACAGCGGATTCATCGCTCACGCTATAAGAAGCCCCTTATTAAAGCCTTTGGGCTCATAACCTGTTAACAGAGCAGCGCTCCTTTTCTTGAATCCAAAAGCCTTCGGTGATCACACAAAGTCCCTCTAAGAAGTTGCAAGTGCTTCCCTGCATACGCGACCCCTATATAACCCCTATAATCCCTATGGTTTCCATTTTCTCCATTATCCCAACATATCTTAACCCCAATATATACCCTGTATTATAATCCCCATATAACCCCTACATAACCCCTGTATAACCCTTGTGTGACCCCTATATAACCCCTATAATCCCTATGGTTTCCATTTTCTTTTCCATTATCCCAACCTATCCAGACTTCCGTGCTGCAAGGCCAGAGCAGTTCCCAAGCGCTCGCGGAGTGCCGCAGGTATCAAGCCAGATGCCGCTGAGGTGGAGCAGGGGGGGGGGGTTATACAGGGTTTATATTGGGGTTACATAGGGATAATGGAAAAGAAAATGAAACTACTATAATGGGGTATACAGGGTCTACTATATTGGGGTCATATTGGGATAATGGAAAAGAAAAAGGAAACTATTATAATGGGGTTATATAGGGTTTTAGGGTAGCATGCTGCTTCTTTTGTGCTTGTGTGATATAGCTCCGCTGCCATAGACAACACACCCTTTCCCTTCTACATGCGCACACATACACGCACACACACGGCCTGTATGCTGGTACAGAGGCATTCAAGATATTCAAGCATGTGCCTGGTAAGCAGGTCCTTCAATGCATAGAGACTTTGTACGTCGACAAACTGAAGCCCTTTGGCCGGGGCGCCTAGCGGCTTAGCTTGGGTCCGGCAGCCGTTCTTGTTGACCGATTCTTGGGTTTAGGGTTCAGCGCCCTGAGGTCGAATTCTTCGGAAACGTGTCGCGGAACGCCATGTCCAGATTCACTTACAGCAGCAGCCGTATATGCCAGGACCAGTATGGTTTGCAGCAGGGTTCGGCGGAGCCTAGAGACCCTCTCGTTGAATTCCTCTTTCTGGATTCTGGACACGAGAAGATCCGTAGTTTGGCAGATCTGTTCTGTCCAAGCTAGCACACCAATGTCCAATCCAAGCAACAGAACAGCTGGTAGCGCAGAAGCCATAAAGTGCCTGTGACCTAGTGGTGTTCTGCTGTTTAATTGACTGCATCTACACTACACATGCTGTATAGGCGCTATCGAGCGAGGTAGTATTGCGGTTTCTCTTCCGTGATAGTCCCATACTTCATTCCTTGTAGTGTATCATGGTGTCATAGTCTCAGACTGGATCAGGAACCACGATAGACCTGCCAGATGTGGACATCAAGCGCGAGCCCCAGTCCGCCTGTGGTTTAGTTGGGACGGATCCATTCACAGCAGTAGCAAGTAGATCTCAGAGCCCTGGGGTTTTTAGCTACGAGAGATCATTCTCAGGCTGGAATGCTTTGTGAGAGCCCTGAGTGTTCGACAATCTGCCATGTGGTGAATTTGACCAATCTGCTGCCGTGCCATCGAGACACCAGCCATGGTTTTGCGAGAGACTGTTTTGAAGACACTTTGCTGTATCTGCCATCCCGGGAAAACTACCATTCCCGGAGGAGGCATCAGAATCTAGCGCTTCAGAGCTTGCAAGGGCAAAGAGCATCGGGCTTCACGAGATAGAACCCAGCAGGACATTCCGCACCCAGATTCAAACTGATCCGACTGATCCGATTGCTGAAGGCATTTGAAGCAGATTTGCGAAGAGTCGGACATGTTGGACATAGCGTCCCAGCCCTAGGCATCGCCTCCAGCTTGTTCTCTTTGCGCTATTTTGAGCAATGCTTCTTGATCCGTTCTGATACAGCCGCCTTCATTGCAGATCAGCCACCGCAGCTGTATAGTAGTTTCTATTTTCTTTTTCCATAATCCCTATATAACCTATAACCCCAATATAGTCCCTATAATTCCCATGCAATCCCTATAGTTTCCACTTTGTTTTCCATTATTCCTATATCCTTGCTATGTACTAGCAGCACTGCTTGGGGCAAGCTAGGGCGTCACGCAAGCCTCCTTTCGGAAGCTTGAAGGTAATATTGGGGTAACATTGGGGTAATGGAAAAGAAGAATGGAAACTACTATACTGGGACTGGTATGGTCAAAGTGTCATGCTCCTGCAGAATGCAGGGTTGTCCTTTGAACCTCAATTCGGCTTGCAGCGCAGATGCCATCTGTATGGGTGGTTGTCAAAATGATGGTCCCTTTTTTGGGTACCCTAAATATTAGGTGCCGTATTATAATAGGGATCCAAAAAGGGACCATAATTTTGACAACCACCCGTATGAGGCCAGAGGAGGGTGGCGACTGGTCAGCCACTTTCCGGGGCCGAAGCCAGGTCTTCGTCGAAGCCTTAGAAGAGGTCTTGCGAGGTGGTAAGACTTACCCTTGGTTACCTGAATATGCAGGAATGGAAAAAAAACATGGACACTGCTATAATGGGTTCTCCGGGGACTACTCTATGGATCCATTCCTTCATTCCTCTCGCACCAAAGGTAAGATCATGAAGCTGAAGGGAGGGAGTGGCACATGAGCTATAGTCCAAACTCCTTAAAGGGGGTTCTGTAGGGGACTATTTAGGGGAGTATTATAGAGTTTATGAAGGGGGATACTAGGAGTTTAGACTATAGCTCACATGTGGCAGGTAGACATCTACAGCCCTACAGACGAGCACGCTCTCGAGACTTGGCAGGCGGCCAGAGAGTGCTCCCTCGCATTGGCCGTTATGCATTGACTTCCTTGTTCTTAATAGGGAATAGGGGAACATATTATATGGATAAGAAAAAAATTGTATAGGGATTCTATAGGGATTATATAGGGATTATCCATGGATTTTATAAGGACTATATAGGGATTATCTATGGGATTATATAGGGATCATATTGAAACATTCCCTGCTAAGAACCAGTAAGTTGACGAGTCACAGTGTCATGTGACCTACTGTCTAAACTCCTGGTATCCCCCTTAGTAGCCCTTATAGTAGTCCCCTATATATTGGGTACTGCCCCCACCCAGTAACAGCCTGTATTATGGGTCCTATTAAGGGCTAGATATAACCATACTATAATTCTTATCCAACTGTTAGTGACTGGAGGGCAGTACCCAACCTAAACCCAAAACCCTAAACCCCTAAACCCTAAACCTTAAACCCTAAACCCCCTTTTTCGCCCCCTTTAAGGAGTTTCGACTATCATGTAGGTGGCGGGGTGACAGGTATTTCGACTCCCTGCCAGAGAGTGAAGCCCTTCTCCCTGGAGGTGACCGCAACCATCTCAAAGGGCCAGAATATTGGGGTTGTATAGGGGTTCTATAGGGCTATATAGGGTTATATAGGGTTATATAGGGTTATATAGGGATTATAATGCAGGGTGAATATTGGGGTTATTAATTGGGATGATGGAAAAGAAAATTGAAACTACTACAGTATATTGGGGTTATATTGGGGTTATATTGGGATCATGGAAAAGAAAATGGAAACTACTATTTAGGGTTTAGGGTATCTTCCAGTTTTTGAGCAGGAAATGATGCAACAGCAAATGCAACATATGAGCTACAGTCTAAACTCCTATAAGGGGTGTTATAAGGGTTTCTATTGGGGAGTATTATATGGGGTAAAGAGGATACTAGGAGTTTAGACTATGGCTCATGTGATAGAATTAGGCATTGCATAACTGCAGCTACAGGTTAGGTAGACTCCCCACCCAGTAGCTACAGGTTAGGTAGACTCCCCACCCAGTAATAGTGACTATAAGGGATATTAGGGATTACATTAGGGCCCTCGTATATTCTTATTATAACGCTATTACAGGGTGGGAGGTCCTAAGCTATAGGGATCGAAAGCTGTCGAGCTTCACTTTGCCCACCCGCGAAGGCCGCTATTCCTGCGCGCAAGCCCTGGTGCAAAGGATGGGGCATGGTTACTACATGATTACTTTTGTTCTCATGATTTTTCTACTATTCTTGTTATTTCTGCGATTATTAGTATTAGTAGTATTCTTATTCTCAGTGGTATTGGTGTTATTCTTATTACTATTGATATTATTATTGGTACTAGTACTAGCTGTTAAGTGACCCGTCACTGTAATCCCTATGCCTGGTAGATTGTCCAAATTAGGGTCTTTTCCTTGAGACCCCAACTACAGGGGACCGAAGTAAATCGTAAAATCTG